CTAGTGGCAGCCAGCCAGTCAGTCAGTGGGACACACGTCCTAGCACGGACGACGGGGCACACGCACTCGCGGGACACACACGGGGGCATGGCACACGAGGCGGTGTGTGCGTTCTCAGGGAGAGGCGTCGCCACAGACCTGGTGGCAGTGCACAAAGACGCGGCCGCCGGCCTCGATCGAGGCGTCGATGTACTCGATCGCCTCGTAGAGGAGCGTCGAGATGTCCTCGCGCGGCGAGTCGTACAGGTGCAGCGTCTTGTACGTGAGCGCGCCCGGGTGGTAGTCAGGGCACGCGACGCCGGCCGTGTTGAGGACGTGGGTCACGCCGTTCGAGAGCAGCAGCCGCAGGTCCGAGGCAACCTACGGGCGCGCGATCGCGCGATCGTGCGAGCGTGGCGCGCCCAGGGGCCATCGTCACTAGGGTCAGTTGGACCATCATCGCCACCTCCACCGGGTCCACTGTGATGGCTCCCACTGGTGCTTGTAGAACTACTCCCACTATCAGAAGGTGGTGGGCCCTCCCCTCTACCTCCACTCTAGTGCTGCTGCCTCTATCCTACTCTCGCTGCCGCTACGCTGCTGCTGCTGCCGCTACGCTGCTGCCGCCGCCGCCGCGACTGCTGCTGCCGCTTGCTGCGCTGCCGCTTGCTGCGCTGCCGCTGACTGCGCTGCCGCTACAGCGCTGCGGCCCTGCACGCACCCCCTGCACGCACCGTGTTTGAGCCGAGGAAGAGGCGCTCCTCGATCTGCGAGCAAACGACGTCGAAGCGGCGCAGCTTGGCGACGCGGTGCTCGTGCTCGTCCTCCTCGATCTCGCCCTCGGCCCGCTTCTGCTCCGCTCGACCCACCTCCACCCTGGGCAGCATCGGCCTAGCGCCGCCGATGCCGCCCACCCCCGGCGGCTTTGGCGGCGCGGCGGCGGGGGCGGCGGCGCCGGGGCGGCGCCCAAAGCCTAGACGCGGGACAGAGCCGGGGGTTTGGGGCCGGGTGGGGCTGCAAGTGCCGCGGCCGCGCACGCCGATCGACGCGCCGATCTTGGGAACGCGCATGCCGGCGCCGCGCGCGCTCGGCGGCGGCACGGCGGCCGCCGGCGGTCTGGCCGTCGGCGGGTGCGCCACTTTGGCCTTTGCCACACCGCCGAGTCCAATCTTGGGGATGGGCGGTCGCCCGCCGCCGCCCGCCGCCGCGCCCTTCCCCGCTGTCCCGCTGCTCGAGCTCGCTGCAGCAGGCGCACCCGCGGCAGCGCAGTCCCCGCCGACGGGGGGGTCGCCTGAGGGCAGAGCTCAGCGTGAGGGAGAGAGGGGAGGTGTGGGTGGGAGGAGGGGAGAGGGGGAGGAGGGGCGGGCGGGGGGGGGGGGCAGCTGCCGTCCGCGCCGGCGAGGGAAGGCAGCAGGCTCGACACTAGCTCGGAGCAGCCGAGGGCCACCTGGGCGCCGGCGGTGGTGCCGGGTAAAAGGGGGAGGGCGGCGGGGGAAGTAGGGGGCCGCAAGCCCGGTCAAGGGGCGGGGGCGGGGCAAAGCCCCTCTTCCCGGGGCCCCCAACAGGGCGCCAACAGGTGGTTGTGCGCCGCGCCGCCGCTGGTGGTGGCCGCCGCGACGGCCGCGCCATCCTTGTACCCGCCCCCGCCCGCGACCGCGCAGCAGAGCGGCACGAGCCCCGTGCCAGCGCCGGCGTGCAGGTGGCGCGTGCGGCCCGAGGCGTCGGAGAGGAGGAAGCGCTCGAGCTCGAAGCACTTTGTCAGCGCGACCGCCTTAGTCAGCGCGACCGCCCGCGTCCCGTTCCATAGGTAGATGTCATGGCCGAGCGCCTCGCCGCCGTCCGACTCAAACGGGTAGGGGCCGCAGTCGTCGTAGCCCGAAAAGGCGGCGCCGAGGCCGCGGGGCGTCAGGGCGCGGTGCGACGTCTCGGCCAGCTCGGCCAGCGAGACGCTCGCGTCTTCGCCGCCGCCGCCGGAGCTGCTGCCCGCGCCGCCGCCGGCGTTGGCGTTGGCGCCCGCCGGCGTCGTCGCGGTCGGCTTGGCGGGAGACGCGGCGGCGTCGCGGCGGCGGTAGAGGTGGAGGACGATGTAGCTCTCCGTCGGATCGAACCGCCCCAGCTCTGACGGGCCGACTGCAGAGCAGGGAACCTCATCCGCGCTCGCGCCCGTGGGCGCGTGGCAGCGCCAGACCTTGATGTTGCTGCGGTAGGGACTGGGCGACGGCGCAGGGCCGGTCGGCGCGTAGGCGAGGAGCTCGCCGATGCCCATCGGCTGCCGGTCCACCGATAGGTGGGAACCCATCCAAACGCACCACCAAGCCGCCGACGCTAGCAGAGCTCAAAAAAGTATTTAAACAAAACAACTCAAAAAAGTAGTTTTACAACAAAACTCCCTCGCACAACACTGGGCACAGGACTGGGCACGGGACTGGCTCGCACTGGCACTAACACAGGTACACCACGGGAGCCGCCTAAGCGACTCCTGCGAGGGTGGCGAGGCACTTAGCCCCGTGCACCCGCCCACCCCCGCCACAGGCAAGCTCATTCACGACCTGCTCTGCGATGGCCGTGTGAAGAACGACTGAGATGCGCTGCTTCTGCAGCCCCAGCCAGCTCTTGGTGAAACAGCTTTGCAACTGCTGCCCAACTTTTGTTGTATGTTGATGGGCTGCAACTGCATCCACCTGCCACCTTGGACACCTCGATACCTCAGACGCCTCTTGACAACACTCGACACCCGCTCGACACCCGCTCGACACCCGCTCGACACCCTCGACACCCTCGACACCCTCGACACCCTCGACACCCCTCGACACTCCTCGACACGGACAAGCATGGTTTCAGCCTCGACAGGCCTCGACAGGCCTCGACAGGCCTCGACAGGCCTCGACAGGCCTCGACACCTCTATCCCTCGACAGCAGCTCGACACCCTCGACACCGGGCCTCGACACCTCGACACCAGGGCTCAGATCGAAGCCGCCACAACCTCACACCCAACATCCCAGGCGGGATCAGAAGGGGACTCCACACCGGACACCGCCCGGGCACAGCCCCCCTACCCGTCGGATCGCACAGAGGGCCCCCTCGGAGCAGCCCACACACAATCACGCATCGGCAGATTGAGTGCCTGAGTCAGGCAGACAGCACAGACAAGAGGAGAGAGAGGAGAGAGAGAGAGAGAGAGAGGAGAGAGGAGAGGGTGAGGGTGTGAACACACGTGAGGAGTGGGGGAGGGTGTCTGTGGTGGGTTGTAGTCATACTACGTGGTTACAACCACGCGCCCCTCAGGAGCTTAAGGTAGAGCTGAGCGTCCCAGACGCCTCGGTGCCACCCACCGGGTGAGACCATCCGGATCTACCCAGTGCGTCCTCCGGACGGGCTGGTCCCCGCGATGGCCCACGGTCCTCCGTCGCCTGGTTGAACCCCCTGCCTCCCAGTTGACCCCCAGTCCTCGTAGTCCATCATTAAATAAACTCAAAGTCCACCACAGCCACCAGCCTCCACCTCCACCGTCGAGCCGCGATCGCTGCCGCCCGCGACGCCGCCCGCCGCGTCAGATAGCCGCGACGCGCGCATCTCTCTCTCTCTCTCTCTCTCTCATGCGGTGAGTTATAATTCACATCGAAGGCGCTCAAAAAAAAGCAGAAAAACCAACGACGCGCGGGAACAACCCACCGGGAGGTCTCTCGCCTCCGCGTTCTCCTTCCCGGAGGCTCTGCTTGCGATGGCGGATCCGGACGCCCTCGCACAGATCAGTGCCGTGATGTCGGCTCCGACGCAGGCCGTCGCTGTCGTCGTGCTGCGCGCCGACGGCAGCTGCGACGAGGCCAAGATTGACCACCGCAAGGTGGGCGAGCTCCTCGGCGGCACGCCCACCGTCGTCGGCGCTCTTCGCTTCCTCAGCGCGCAGGCGGTCTCCCGCCGCGGCGCAAAGGGGTCGGTCAACAAGCACGCGCTCCCAGCCGACTCGTTTGAGCCGGGCATCAAGGGCGACATCGTGCTCCTCCGCACGGACGACGACAGCGCTGGCACCCCTCTCGACCTGACGGTCGTCGAGTACAACAAGTGGGTGGACGACGGGAGGCCGGACGCCGAAGAGGAGGAGGGCGAGGAGGAGGGCGAGGAGGACGAGGGCGAGGAGAGCGAGGAGGGCGAGGAGTCGGGGAGCGAGGACGAGGACGGCGAGAGCGACGAGGAGGACGAGGTCGACCTGTCGGAGCTTCCCGAGTCGGAGCTGCGCCGCGCCTGCAAGCTCTTCGGCCTCGGCGAAGAGGGGAGCAAGGAGGCGTTGATCACGCGGCTGGCGCGCCGCTCGCCGCTTCGCCGCCCGCTTGCCCCGCGGATCACCGCCATCCCTCCGCTGCAGGTGGCGCACGCAAAGGAGCAAGTCGAGGGCGAATCGGACGAAGAGAGTGAGAGCGAGGGCGAGGAGGAGCAGGCTGGGGAGGAGGAGGAGCAGGAGGCCCCGGCTCCCAAGCGGAGGACGACAAAGGCTGCCAGCAGCGCCGCGGGCCCCTCCAAGGCGCCCGCGAAGCGAGCCAAGCGCTCGTGAGAGGCTGCGCTGGGTATGGACAGCAGCTGCTCCGCCAGGCGCCGGCGCTCTGTACTAGTGGTTGCGCAACGGGAGGGCCTCGTGGCGTCGGGCCTCGCGTCACTTGGCCCATGCCTTTTGAGTCATGCCGGCGGAGCGTTTGAGTTGCGTACACTGTGCTGGACCGCGCGCGGCTGCCCCGCGCCCTGAACTCACTTTGGCCTCACTGAAGCGATGCCTGAATCCTTAATCCTCGGATTTTAGATTCAGCACATGCATATAGGGGCGTTGGCGGAAGGTGGTGGAATTCCATAAAAAAAGAATTTTTCAACAAAGGTCCCTCGCACAACACTGGCACGGGGCCAACGCGCCTCGCTGCGCCTCTTGATGGTAGCGCCACACTCGCGGTGCCTTCTCGCAGCCCTCATTAACGTTCTTGAGTCTCGTCCGGAAACTTCCGCTTGGGTCGAGCTCAAGAGTCGTTTCCAAAAAATGGGTGCTCTCGGCGGCTTCCACAGCTTCAACGGGGCCCAGTAGCACTCCGAACGACGGAAATCATCCCGGAAACGATCAACATCCCATGCGCTATCGTCCTTCGCAGTCACCGTGATCACATCGTCCAGCGCGGTTGGCGCATCGATTGCAAACGCGCGCCTCTTCTACCAGGACATGCGCCGCGACCTAGGCCGCATGACGACGACGTACAACCTCGTGCCCGGTTACGTCTTCCTTTTTGAACTCTTTGACGAGGCGAAGAAGACGGGAAACCCAGCAGAGGCACATTGGGGATTGCTCAACCAGGACGGAACCCCCAAGCTTGGCTTGACGGAGTTCGTCCTCCCCCCATCTTTCTCGGCAACAAAGCCCTGACCGGAAGGAGCCTCCCGTTGAGTTGACTGACTGTGTGTGTGTGTGTGTGTGTGTGTGTGTGTGTGTGTGTGTGTGTGTGTGTGTGTGTGTGTGTGTGTGTGTGTGTGTGTGTGTGTCTGTCTAGGAATCTTACTGCCCCACAGCGCAGCCATGATCCGTGGCCCCTCTCTTGCAGCCCACTCTTGTGAGCGAACCCGATGTGCCGTCTCGCGCGAGTTCCCCGATAAAAATAAATCTCTTCTCATGGCCGCTATTTTGCCACATAAAGAAGACATTCGTGGCCGGTGTACTCCGTTCTTGCCTCGGTTTGATGGCTAGCGCATCACACCCCTCTCCTTAAAATCCCTGTGTGGTGGCGGCGTGCCGTCCTCCCATCCCTCCCTTGGGTTTTGGTTCTTTCTTTCTTGCTGGGTGTACCTGTGTTAGTGCCAGTGCGCGCCAGTCCCGTGCCCAGTGTCCTTCGAGGCAGTCCTCGTAAAATTTGGAGCACGGAGTACTTGGAGCACTTGCAACTTTTACGGAAACGGCCAAACGGGGCCATGGCCGACGCTCGCGATGGCCCGTCCGTTGCGGCCAGGCTCAAACTGTGCGCGCAAGCCACAGGAGAGGCGGTGGCGCCGCAAGACGAGGCGATGATTCGCATCCTCTCGCGGCTCGCCGTGGAGAACAACTGGTGGAGCTTCAGCGTCAACCCGACGCCCACGGGCAAGCAGTTCATTGTCCAGCCCCAGTCCCAGTGGGAGAGGGACAGGGAGCGGCAGCAGGCCAAGGAGGGCAGTGCCCCACCGCAGCCTGTGCCTGCTGCCACTTCCGCCGCGGCACCGCCCGCAGCACCGCCTGCCGCCGCTGCAGCTCCGGCAGCAGCACCGCAGGCACACCCGCAGCACCAACAGGTGCAGCAACCCCAGCCCAACGAGTCGCCCGAGGGGTGGACCAGGGTTGGGAAGGGCGGCATGCCGGACAGGTTCACCATGAGGAACCATGGCCGCAAGCCGCCGGGCAAGGCGGTCAAGCGCAAGCCTGACCGCCAGCCCGCACCCAAGGGAGGTGGACCCCCACCCCCCTCTCCCAAGGTGGTGGACAAGAACAGGCTGAGCGCGCTGGGCGCTGGCCCTTCTGGCACCAGCGGGAGCCACGAGCGCGCACCGCCGCGCTCCCCCTCCCCCTCCTCGCCGCCTGCCAAATCACCGCGGCCATCTGCGCCTGCTTCCGAGTATGACTCCGAGCTCGACCAATACTTTTCCGACGCCGAGGCGCGGGATAGGGTGGCAGGGGTTGTACACGACGCAGTGCAGCAGGCTGTGATGCAATATGGCTATGACGACGAGCTCTTCCAGGATTGGAGGGACGGCAAGATAGGCGAAAAGGACTTGCCGGAGGAGGTGATGGCTATGACTTTGGACCTTTGCGAGAGGTGGCGAGCGGAGCAAGAGCGGTGTAGGCGCGTCCACGCGGCGCAGCGGCTCTCCCGCGACCCCGGCCCCTCTCGTAGCCGCAGCCGTAGCCGCAGCCCCAACTCTTGCCGCTCTTCCGTGTCGGGTTGTGACGAGGGGTGAGGGGACACGGATTGAAGATCCCTCACACCAAGATCGTGCAGGGCGGGGACACACGTCCCTAAATCCCATCTCGTCTCAGAGTTTGACCGCTTTCTTTATTTATTTATTTGGAGCACTTGGAGTGCAGTCATCAACCTCACATCCAGGGCCGGGGAGCTAAGGAGCACACCCAGCGGGCCGGATGATCGGTATCGCCCCCGTCATACGCGCGACGCCGTGCGCTGGAGTCCTACGTGGGTCGGAGGGGCGGAGCTGGCGTGCGTCAGATGCGCTGTCAGTCGTCAGTAAGCGCGCCATTACCGCGCGCCACTGTGACCTGTGCGTCTGGCAGGCGTCCACGGCTCGGCCAGTCTTAGAATGCTCTTGCTGACCTCCGCCGCGGCGATGGCCATCGCCGCCGCCCCCGCGCGCAACGTGCTGTACATCGTGTTCGACGACCTCCGCCCTGACCTCTCGGCGTACGACGTGCCATTCATGAAAGGCAAGACGCCGCGAACCTGTGCGCTGTGGCCTGCGTTTCCCCCTTTCAGAAAAAAGAAAAGACGGCGGACTAGCACCGACGACCCGGCGCCGCCGACGACGCCCACGCGCTATCGACCGCCACCGCCGCCACCGCCGCCGCGCCCTCCCGTACCTCCCCCGCCGCCGACACCGCGCAACGCCGCCTGAAGCGCGCGCGGCGCTCCTCCTCTGCCGCTCGCGCGAGGTCGCTGCGCAAAGAGGGAGAGGGGCCTCGCGCGGCATCGCCGCTCGCCGCCGGGGAGGGCGAGCGAGAGGTCGCGAGGCCAGTCTGCCCCCTCGCCCTCGCCCCCGACGTCGTGGGGGAATTGGCGGTGCGCTATCGTGGCCGCCTCGGCGGCGACGGCGCTGCTGAAGACGGCAACAAAGCCGGCGGGCAGCGGTCGCAGCGTGATGAGGCCAGGCAGCGCCTGCGGTGGGGAAGCAGGAAGGGTTGACGTCTGCGACGGGGCGCGAGCGGAGCAGCGCCGGCCATGCCCACCCCTCTCAGCGCGCCGGCGACTGCCCCTCTGAGCGGGCCGGCGGCGTCGAGCTCTGGCTCAAAGCTGGCGAGCTCGATCAGGTGGGCGTGGCAGCCGGCCGCCTCGCATTCGTAGCCGACGGGCTCGCGCTGCTCCGGAGCGGGGGACCGCCAGCTGCTGTAGTCGTGCCGCAGCGGCCGCTCCGGCGCCTCGAGCTCCACCACAGAGTCGGGGCGCCTGCCGAACTGGTCCCTCCGATTGTCGTAGGTTGGCGCGGGTGGCGGCGGCGGCAGGGCGTAGTAGCTCGTGGCGTGCGCAAAGTCCTCGAGCCGCAACACGGGTATGACGGCCGAGCGAGGGTGCATGTAGACGGCCATGAAGCGCTTCTCCTCCTCGCCAAACGACTCGGGGCGCAGCTTGAAGCGCCGGGCGCACGCGGCGACCAGCGCACGCGCAGAGCTCGGGAGATAGACCGGGAACCGGACGCAGACGAGGTCCTCCCCGTCTTCGCCCGCCGACTCGACCAGCGCGGTGAACTCGCGCTCGAGCTGCGCAAGCAGCGCTGCGTCCGCCTCGCTGCTCACCAGCCTCCGGTAGAGCGGCAGCGAGCACAGCTCCTCGGTGAGGATGGAGCGGTGGGCACCGGCGGTCCAGGCCCTGCTGCGGGTCGGTGGGAGGGTCGCGCGAGGAGGCGGGCGCTGCACGTCGGCCATGTGTGAAGCTCTGAACGCTATCGCACGCCCACACCGGGTTCGGCTCCCCGGGGATGGGGTGGAGGGTTCCGACTCCGCCAGGGTTTGCATTGTGTGACACGTCGGGGAGCGAGCGCTACACGCATCCTACTGTGAGGACCTTCCTTAAGGTCCGCCTATAAACACTCCCTTTGTCCTTTGTTCTCTTCTCATAAAATCGGAGGGTCGGCCCACTTCGTGAACTGAGAGAGAGATTTTTATTAACCAACAAGAAATCACGACTCTCACACTTGAACTGAAGCGACCCAACGATTTTATGAGTGGCAGCAAAGGGAGTGGCCTATAAAAACCCTCACTTTTAAAGAAAGAAAGAAAACGGACAACCCAAGCGGGGGATGGGACTTTGAGGAGTGACCTCAGCTGGTGACCTGCCTAATTTATTCTTAGGAAACAACTCCTGTGAAGATGGCTTCGTATGAGCCCGGTGCCTCGGCCGTCCCCTCGTGCTTCGAACACGCGCAGGCGGCCGATATGCTCAGCTTTCTCAGACTCAGTGTCAGTGAGTGAGTGAGTGAGATGTGAGTATTCATGATACGAAACTACGACGACACACTCAGTCGACTCGCATCGGTTGCCTCCATGAATTGCTCTCACTCACCTCTTTGAAAGTTTTTGAAAAGAAAAAGCACCCAAATTCACAGTGTGTGTATATGTTGGCACTCACGGCCGCAGGCGCCAGCACGTGGTCGGGCCGTCACGCCTCCTGCCGTGCGCCGGTCCGCGCTGTCTCCCAGCCCAGGGCGTGCGGCGTCGGCGAGCTCGTCGACGAGGCGGCGGCCGCGCTGCTGCCCACGTTTTCTGAAATCGACCGGCGCACAGAGCAGTCGCTCTCGTCGGTGCTGTCAGCATTCCGCCGGCACGGAGTCGGCACGCACCACTTTGCGGGCGTGGATGGCTACGGTCACGGCGACCTCGGCCGCGAGGCGCTCGACGCCGTGTACGCTGACCTGCTTGGCGCCGAGGCGGCTCTTGTGCGAGTGCAGTGCTTCAGCGGCACGCACGCGATCGCGTGCGCCCTCTACGGCGTGCTCCGGCCCGGAGATGAGCTGCTCGGCGTCTCCGGCGCGCCGTACGACACGCTGGAAGAGGTCATCGGCCTGCGCGGCCGCACGGAGGACGGGCTGCGCGGGTCGCTCGCGGACCTCGGCGTGAGCTACTCGCAAGTCGAGCTGGCGGCAGCCTCGGAGGGGACGGCGGTGGCGAAGTTCGACCTCGACGCCATCGGCGCGGCGATCCGCCCCTCCACGCGCGTTCTCCACGTGCAGCGCTCCTGCGGCTACTCGTGGCGCGCCTCGATCCGCGTCCAGGAGATCGGGCGCCTAGCGGGCTGGCTGCGGACGCATCACCCGTCGCTCATCCTGTTTGTGGACAACTGCTACGGCGAGTTCGTCGAGGTTGAGGAGCCGTGCCACGTCGGCGCGCACCTCGTCGCCGGATCGCTCATCAAGAACCCGGGCGGCACGCTCGCCCCCTCGGGCGGCTACGTGGCGGGCCGCTCCGACCTCGTCGCGGCCGCGGGTCGTCGGCTGGCGGCTCCGGGCGTGGAGGGCGGCGCGACGCTCGGCATGACGCGCACGCTCTTTCAGGGGCTCTTCCACGCGCCCCAGGTCGTGGGCGAGGCTCTTAAGGGCTCCCTCCTGGTCGCCCAGACGATGAGCCGCCTCGGGTACGAGTGCAATCCGCCGCCGGGGGTTGGCGGCCGCACCGACATCATACAGGCCGTCAAGCTGGGCAGCCGCGCCAAGGTGCTCGCCTTCTGCGCCGCCGTGCAGCGCTGCTCCCCCGTCGGCGCTCACATCGTCCCGGTCGCCGGAGTCACCCCCGGCTACGGCGACGAGGTTGTCTTTGCCGACGGAACCTTCATCGACGGGTCGACCCTCGAGCTGAGCGCGGACGGGCCGCTGCGCGCGCCATACGCGGTCTATGTGCAGGGGGGGACGCACTGGACCCACTGGGCAATCGTGTTGCGCGAGGCGCTCAGCGCCCTCGCGGAACTGGAAGAGCCGCTTGGCGAAACAGCCGCCGGCGAGGGCGACTCACGACGTTACGCCGGGCGGCGCTCGCTGAGGAACACTGAGTAGTACGCGTGTCTGTAACAGTAAACGTGTCACAAGGGAGACCTCTCCGGCACGCCGCGCCCTCTCTCTCGAGACTAACCGCCGCGGAAAACTCCCGCAAGCGCGCAAAATGTTACAAGACCCACACCCGAGCTGGCCGTCAGCCTCGAACCATCACCCCCATAGCCATTCCTGCTGCACCGACAGTAATCAAAAATCCAGTCATCAGAGTCGCCCTCTTCTTCATGGTCTCCTTCTCCTTCTCGTCAGCGTACACGGCCTCTCCCGCCTTGAAGCCAGCAGCGAAGCCGACAGCAGCGCCAAATACCAAAAACGCAGCGTGGGACTTGATCGTCATCCCCGTGTGATGAGGTGACGCAAGCCGTAGGGTCGAGATGTCCCTGTGGAGGTGGCGACTTGTGCCCCAGCGCCCGGCCGAAAGAGGGGGAAAGAATTTTTCTGAGCTAGGCGGTCGCACGAAACGACTCAGTTTTCTTTCTTTCTTTCTTACACGACAGTGTTCGAAGAGAGAGTGGACCTGAGCCATGACTTGGCGGCAAATGATCGCAGTGGGCGTCAGAAGAGTCGTCCTTGCGCGAGGAGAGCTCGATAGACTCGATCGAGGGGCCAAGCAAGAACCAAGATATGCAGCGAGGAGGGCGGAGCTGCGCCGAAAGGCGCAAGAAGCCGCGAGAACAAGGGACCGGCAGGCGGCGGCGGCGCAGAACGAGGCAGAGGAGAGCGACTCGACAGAGGAAGAAGCGACAAGGGAGATATGCGTGATGCCAGCAGAAAGGACGCTGATTCATGCTCAAATGCGGCACCGCGTATCTTCGAAACAGCTGCCGCTGGCATACGCCGTGGACTAACGAAAACTGCGATCTCAGTGCCCCAGGACGCAAAATTTTCTGCGGGGCTATAGCCCCGCACCCCGTTTGGGATGAATTCACACCTCTCAGCTGCTGTTCACACCTGGAAAACTCATCGGATTTGGGCCACTTGCCTGGGCGACCCCGGACCCTTGGCGGACGATCATGGTGCCCCCCGGGACCCCCCGTGCGGGCTGCGGGGGCCTTCCTCTCTCTCTCTCTCTCTCTCTCTCTCTCTCTCTCTCTCTCTCTCTCTCTCTCTCTCTCTCTCTCTCTCTCTCTCTCTCTCTCTCTCTCTCTCTCTCTCTCTCTCTCTCTCTCTCCTGGATCAACAAGCAAAAGAACAAGCAAGCGACAAACGGCTTCTTGTCCTCGGCCCCAGTGGGGGGTGCCCGCGCCGCCTAGCTCTGCAGACGGGCCCCTCCACCATTCCTGTAATCATGTAGTCCCCACATTCGCAATCGTGGGATCGCTTGTCAACAGATTTTTTTCTTTTCATAAGAAAAATTGCGCCATAGAGAAAAAAGAAATTGCGCCCCCTCTGCGCCTTGCGGCGATGCGCGGACTCGAGTGCTGGGCGTGCGGGCTCGTCTTTTCCTTCGCCGCCGCGCTGGCGCTCGACGCGCAGGCGCAAGCGGCGCCGACGGCGCTTGCGGCGTGTCTTGTCGTCGCTTCGTCCAGCGGCGGCGCGCTGCTGCTCGCCAATGCCCTCGTCGCGGCACTCGTCCTTGCAGTCAGCACGCTGCAAAGGGTGGTCTTTGGTCGTCTCCGTGTCGCCGAACGCCAGCGCACCTTTGAGCGCATCGTGAGCCTCTCGCTCAGTCAGCTCGTGCAGGCAAGTCTGCCAGGCCTCCCCCGCGCACCAGCCCCGCCCCGCCAATGCGCACCCCGCCGCTGCCCCGCCCCGCCAGATCGCCGCCGTCGTCGACTCGGATTGGCGCGAGGTTGCGCTGTGGGCGGTGGTCGGCGGCCTCGGCTGCGCGCTTAGTCTGTACTCGGGGCTGTGTCGTGACCGGCTCGACTACCTGGTGCACTTGCCCGAGGCGCCCTCGGCCAGCCGGCTTGCCGCCGTCCTCGTCACGCAGCTGCTGCTTCTCGCGACGACGCTCGGCCTCCTCCGCACGCTCTGCGTTGTCTTTGCCGACGCGGGCGTGTCGGCGCTGGCGCTGCTCCTCTTCCAGCCGGCCGTCGTGCTCCTCGACGGCCTGTTCCACCTCGTGCAGCTGCAGCTGCAGCTGCGCGAGCGGCGGCGCGGCGGCGCCGAGGCGGGCTCGGACCTCGCCTACTACGTCACACTCGTGCCCGAGCTCGGCCTCGGCGTCTCGACGCTGCTCCACCACGCGCACCTCTGGTACGCCCGCGGGCTGCACTTTTCGGTCGTCGACATGCTGCTGCTGGCGAACACAAAGGCAGCCTTCGAGTCGCTGCAGGGTGGCGCCCCCCCCCCCCCCCCAGCAGAAAATCGGTCGGCGGCCTTCACGTGACAATGCCCATTCGCCGAGCTCTCCTCACTTCGCTGAGGGGTTCCTATCGTCTCACACATTACCTGGCGCACTTTCTTATTGCGCCTTGAAGACGCATGGTCTTCCTGGCGTTGGCAACTCTTTTGCATACCACTGGTCAGATTGGCCCTGCGCCCCTGCGGAATCAGGCGACAGGTCGCAGGCTCATCTATTGAGCGGAGTGAATGTGGGGTATGCACCCGCACACTGTCGAATGGGAGGGGC